TGTTAGCTTTCACATGGCGTGAAAGTTTGCCAATGCTATCGCCCCGCCAAATTACGCATCTTGAATCCTATCGAGGAACCCCCCCATAATCCGTGTATAATCTCAGATATCCCTAGCCCTAATTAATCGAGATCCGGTCCTGCATACATGACCTCAGGCTCTGACACAGTTCACCCCGGCAACCAACAACATCGCGCCAGACAATGCTTTAGAGAGGCAGAGTGCTTGCAGGGATGCAAGCCTTTGATTTTAGATTTCAGAAAGCTACATAGGTGTAGGGGCTACAAGGGGATCATATAACGATGTATATGTACGTATATATGCCGGACGCTAACATGGAATTTGCCAGATCATTGGGGTGCAGGCTTAATGATAAAAAAACCATCCCGCCCCCTACTGGGACTGTCTCACCAACATCTACTTGTGCTGCCTTGTTCTATGTCGGGGGTTTTTATTCGGAGGGAGTGAGGGGAAGGCACATGGTTGGGCAAGATAGCATGGAGGATCATCAACGAAACCCTAACCCTCGACTGTGTTTGCTGGATCCTCTGCCGGAGCGGCTCTATTGGCTGTACTGTCCTTAGGATTTTTTAATTTCTATTATGGTAAACCCTTAAGGAAATAGTAAAAATAGTGTTTTTATCATGAAGTCGAAGGAAACTACAGTTGGTTTGTCGGTTTGCATTGTCAGGAAGCGCCTTTCAAAATCTGAGCCGATATGGATTAGTCGTGGTACACGAATGTCCGGAATATCAGGATCCACTGGATGGCTACCGTAGCTCTTCAAGCTCAAGAATGTAGGAAGGGCGATAGGAAACAAGAAAGTGAAGAGGAAGGAACAGGATGCAGTAGCAATGGGTAAGCCGGATCAGGATAAAGGATAATGCTGGTATTGTGTACTCTCGTGATGTTGATCAGGTTCTTAAGCAGACACGAAAGAAATCAAAGACGAGAACGGGCAAAGAACGTCTTGGATTTTGACTTTTGCAGTCGTGGCGCCCAACGCCGCAATATCATGCTACTCCATGATACTCCATGGTTTTTCCTTGTACTCAGTGTTGCTTCCGCTCTCTCTTGCAACATGGCCACATTGCAGCTCACATTGGTTCTTGTAAACGTGCGCTTGATGTATGCTTGCTGTGTTGCAAATTTGCGAGTGTTGAGTAATCATGTTTCTAGTGTGCATATGCTCACATCTGCTCACAGCTGTGGATGATATGGCTAGTACTGTATCATCCCTCTGCTCTATGATGACTGTTCGCGCACGTTCTCTGCAAGGAAATCTCTGGGGCATCTTTTTGCTGGTTTGTAGCCTTGTAGTGTGATTGCATTTTCTTTCTGGGATTAAAGGAATCACGTCAACTATGAAGGTACCCAACCACTGGTTCCGGCTCCGTTAGCAAATCGCACGAGATGGTAGCGACCGGATCTCCTGAGTATGGTCCTGGGAGGAAACCGCCAAGGAAACGCCATCAAGAAGGTTAATCATACATTCACTCAGAACCAGAATTTGCACCTTTTGAGCAGGAAGCATAGATCAAGCTCAAGAGGGCAGGCTTCAAAATCAGCAGTGGGAACTCAAATAATCAAAAGATCCAAATACAACGGCAAAGGATGCAAACAGCTCTTTGGTGTTTGTTTGCAGCAAGCAGGCCGCTTGCAATTTGGGGGCGTGTAAGTCACTTTGGACGTGTGTAAGGAACAGTCCCCCAAAAAGGGTTCTCTTCATGCAGATTAATCATGCAGATTAATGGTAGTTTTCCAACAGAGGGGGACCTCAGTATGGATCCCAAAGCATTGTAATCCTTTATTATGGAGACCCCCCCAACAAAATACACTCAATTTTGGGAACCCCCCTAATCAGGCTTTAGTCCTTCAGTGTGAGGTTCTTCTCGGTGTGGGTGATCCTCTTGGCCATGGGTGTGTTTTCATCCTTCATCAGCTCAATCACCAGCACGGTAAGTTCTTTGCGAACTGCTCGGCAAGAGCAATTCCAGCAACAGTCCAAACTGCTCCGCTTTTTCAATGAGCGCAACCTGTCGATCGATCTATATGGTCAAGTTCAAGAATTTATTCGCAAGCAGGGAGTATTTGAAGTCCGACTTAAGGAGACGGATGTCAGCCTTATCCAGAACATTCCCGAGCGGCTGCTTGGTCTGAAAGAGCACCACTCTGACACGTCTGGAAGCACCTTAAGGTTTACCTGGAAGCTAAATGATGGGAGAGAGCAAACGCCTGCATATTATGGCTAGGGTCCCTGCTTGGTGTTTGAAGCGTTCCACACACAGGTTGAAGATGCAGTTGCATGATGAGATGTTTGCCTCACCGCTGTATTGTTTGGGCATGTGGCTTATCTGCAGGGAGTGACAAGTGCTGCAGGCTCCTCCGTGCCCAGGAATTGCATGTAAAAGCTGGAAGTCTGCTCAGTGCATGAGCCCATGCTCTTACCATCCCCTCATAGCAAGAAACTGTGAGGTGGCCCGCCTGGAGCCAGACTCGAGACCAGCCATTCTTTCGAAATCTGTGCCACCATGCCATGACTGAGAACGTCGCAACTCCCACGCAGGATGCTTTTATGTCTGCCACAGCCTGCACTTCAGCTTATGTTCTGCAGTCAGGATCTATGCGATATCTTGCTAAGCAGAAAACATCTTCACAGATCATGGACATGGTGCGACAACGGGTCGACCAGGGTGCGGTTTTATGCTTGCCGAGCTTGTGGGCAGACTGGCAGCACCGTGGACGCTTAACAGCGGAGTTCGGAACATGCTATTACATCAAGATTGAAGCTGAGAAGTTTTGCACCATTGCCACCCACTACGGCGGGCCTCTCTGGCAATACTTGCAGATCTTTGGCATTCTGTTAATCGGCGCCGTTGATAACCGCGATGAGCAAGGCGTCATGATTTCTGATTTGGGCTTTGAAGAGAAGGAGCTGGATAGGATTGTAATGCGTGCTCAGAGAATAGCTGCCATCATGAACGCACATGCAGACGGGGACATTCTTGCCGCATCTGCCGCCACAGATCATCTGTTCCTGGCAGAGGGTCGTCTATCAAGTGGGCTAAAGTCCGTCGAACTTTAAAGTGTGTGAAGTAGTGACACGCTCGCTGAAGGTGAGCAGTCTTGCAGCGTAGAAATTTTGAATCTCATCGTGGCAGCGGTGCAGCTTTTAAGCTACGACATTCTTAATGCTTGGTGTAGGCTGCGGCATGTGATGCAAACCTCATGATAGTCAAATTCTTCGGTGCTGTCTTCTGTGTTCTGGATTTCATAGTGCAAATCATTTTGCGTGGATGGGTCAACGAAAGCCCTTCCCGTTTCACTAGGGTGCCAGGCCTCAGGCTCTGGCCTTAATCCTGCACCGCTGCAGCGTTTTTGCCATCGCATCTTTGGACCCCCTTGGTGCAGATCTAGTGCTTAGCAAGAGAGTAAGTTTCCTTCTACCCACAAGGCCATTCCTGCAATCTTGCATACTTGCGACAGGTGTGCAGGCTTCCTAGGTGCAAGCATTGTGAGTTCACATGCTTTGTTGCCTTGCCGGCTGAGGCGTCTCTTGAATGGTCTCATCACGTTGAGCGCCGCCACGCCCGGCATGATGGGACCGTCATGGTGTGAGGATGTGTATGGCCTTGGCCGATTTGAAAGGACGCCCAGCTTGCAGTATGGTCGCGTGCACAGGTGTGGTTCAAAGGTCGGCTTCCATCAATGTAGTCACATAGTCTGCAGCTCTGGCGACGCTGACAGCTGCTCCTAAGAGGCATATTATGATCGATGGTTGCCGCCATATCAGCAGGTCCTTGGAAATTCCATGTACAAGGTTTCAATGCAGCATGTGTCGGATGGTAAGGAATACCAGCCAAAGCGATGATGCTGGCACCTTCGATACCATCCCTGACAACAAGCAGCGCGAGCAGCTCTGGCCGGTCATTGCATTTTTTATGAGTTTTAGGGATATATAGGGTTATATAGGTGCATAATAATATAAGGATAATCGAAAATAGAATGGAAACTATAGGGACAATAGGGGTTATATGGGTCCCCAACAAAATCCAACAGACATAGAACTGGGGTTACGGTTCTTATTCTGGAGTGGGAAACCCAACTCTAAGCTTTGTGCATCCAATCGCCCACAAGCTTGCGAAGGGTTTGCGCAGATTGCAAAACCCTAAATCTCAAACCCTATATATGTATATATATATAATTCTTATATTTACATACATATTTATATCTATTTTCTGCTGCTTCCCATATTTTCCCTACATGGGCCCCCCAGTAAGGTATCCAGACGTCGCCTCCCGCAGCGCGCGGAGAGAGCTGCAGAAAGATGCAGAGCAAAATGGGAGAATTGCTTGCTAGGGTCTAGGGTTCAGGGCGTACTTACTGCGGGTTAGTAGGGAATAAGAGAAGATATTGGGGATCTGCAGGGAGAATGCCAAAGAAAATGGATACTGCATTGTAATTGGGGAATATATTGGGGTCTTGTAGGGAACTTGATCCCTATATCCATATTCCGTAGCCCTAGTTGCCTAGTAAAAACTAGAAAGTGGACGTCACTTCGCCAATTTTAATCCACTCGCCCAGCTGTCACGCCTCTGGCAGTCTAGAAGTGCCACAAGTAGCTTTTCGGAGAGAGGGTGTCTGTCCGTTTCCGGTTCAGGGTATCCACAAAAGATCAGCAAGTTCAAGACAGAATCGATCAATTCGTCTTCTCAATTTGTATCCCAGGCGTGATCTTGGAGTTTCTTGAGTTAAGCCTGCAGAATCCTTTAATTCTGGAGACCGTCCCCCATTTTCCTTTGTACTGCTCATACATTATTCCTGGGGTTCCAAGGATCCCGAGAGGGAACCCGCTTTTTTGAGAAGCCAACGTTACACTGTAGTGTAAACTCCGTAAAAGGGGTTATAGAGGGAATTATATTTGGGACTACTACATGGGGTAGTGAGGGGAATCTAGGAGTTTAGACTGCAGCTCATGTTGCGTCGGACTTCACTGACAGGTGCTTTTTAGCTGCTCCCTTTGGCTCCTGCGGGAACCTCAGCAACTGCGCTTGGGAAAAACATTGGGGGGTTTTAAAAGGGAGCGGAGATTATAAGGAATGTAATTTACCGGTTCTTGGTAGGGAACATGGGAATATATTCTATGGCGTTATACAGGGGTTTTATTCCCTTACTCCCGACTAAGAACCAGTAAGATAAGGAGATTATGGGCATCCCTGTTCGTAGTACAGCTCCCTAAACCCCAAACCCCATTCCATAGGGATCGGTCTTTCGCATTGAGGCCGTGCATCATCGCCGCACAAGAGATCACCACCCAAGGCTCAAGTTAATAGGGAATAAGGGAATATATTATACAGGGAATAATGGAAAGGAAAATGGAAGCTGATACATGAGCATAGGGTATATATTTGGGTGATAGTGGGCAACAAGGGAATATATTTTTGGGGATTATATGGGGATGATATTCCCTTAGCTAAGCACCGATAAGATCATGCGCCGAGAAGTCTGGAAGCAGTCCTTGGCCGCGGCGAAGGTGATGCAAACTCCACCAACAGCACACCAAACTGCTGGGTCCTCAGAGTCAGGGTTGTTTCAGGTGCCTGCAAACCGAAATCTGATGGGTTGCTACAGCAGTGATGGGCTTCGTTGCTACAGCAGTGATGGGCTACGTTAGAGTATTAAGATATACTATAGTCGTTTCCATTTTCTTTTCCATTATCCCCATATTAACCCAACACACTATAGTAGTTTCCATTATCCCAATATGACTCCAATGCCTTTTCTTCAAGATTCATTCCTCCAAGTCATGAAGACCTATAGTCCCCTTGAAGTACATAGAATATTGCGCTGGGTAGCTCATCATTTTCAATCTACTTGAGGGGGACTATAAAGGCAACATATTTGAAAGGTACAGAGAACTTCACTGCCTGGAATGACACGAACTACACTGGATTGCCACCTTGTCCAGAAGAGCCTTGCCAGCCAGAAGACTTCAGCTGTCCACGTTGTGCTTTGCAGCATGCTGTACATGATAGTTTGGTAAAATCGGGGGACCCGAATATAGACCCCCCAAAATGCTAGGATTTTATTATAGGGACCCCAAAATGGTACCACCCCCCCGACCCCCTTATAGGGACCCCAAAATGGTACCCCCCTCCCTCCCCCCCCCCTCCCCCCAATTTTGGGAAACCCTAAGCCCTGCACCCTATATCCTTATAGAACCCCTGTATAACCCCTATGTGTTTCCATTGCTTTTCCATTATCCCAACATAACCCCAATATAGTGCCTATAATCCTTATATGACCCATTATAGTAGTTTCCATTTTCTTTTCCATTATCCCAACATAACCGCAGTAGTGCCTATAATCCTTATATGACCCATTATAGTAGTTTCCATTTTCTTTTCCATTATCCCCATAAATCCCTATATAAACCTATATAAGCCTTATACATAATGTTATCACCCCTTTTGACAACTGAGGCCCCGGAACCTCCGTGTTACACGGACAAGTGCTGGGGCACGGTAGCCAGAGAGGCGAGAAATTCATGCATGGAGCATCTGGCTCAGAATAGCCTGCAACGTTCATGTCTGCTGTTGAAGTGATCGAGCCTCATGAAAGGAGGCACGACATGCTGACATTCAGTTATCATCTCAAACCCAGGTTATCGAACTGGGGTGCAGATGCCAGTCGTTGCCTCTTTTTCCAAGACTCCGCATCACAAGTGTGCTGGGCTCTCAGCTGCAGCGCGGTAGCTCTTTTGTGGCAAGTGGTGCTGCTTCTGTTTGCGGTGCGGTTGTGCAGAAGAGATCACAGCATGTAGTCACATTCGGTATTGAAGCGGACTTCAGTTTCCATGTTGAAGAAGCCGAGGTAACGCTACATGCTGCTTGGCAGCACTCGCCAGTTGCGAAGCAGTAGACTTTGCATGGTCACAACTGTACTTTGAGAGCACGTTAATCCTCGCCCCTGGGGAGAGTTGTGGATTCGCTACAGTGGAATCCAACTAAGGTCAGGACTGCGCCCAGATAGCATCTGCCATGTGGCTTGGACAAGCTTGGCAGCTGGTGCAGTTTCTGTGTCATCATTTGGGTCATTCTCCCTCAGTAGGTGTCCTTAAAGGGGGCCTATTAAGGGGCTATTGCAACTCCTGTTATCCATTGTGCTAGCTGTTACTCTAAGGGGGAATGACCAAGGGATCATGGTTCTTCTGAGCAGAGTACTTGTGCTTCCGTCTTTCGCTCCTTCGTAGCTTAGCTTCTCGGACCATCACTGTGGCACTCGGGTTATATAGGGATTATACAGGGTTCATATTGGGATAATGGAAAAGAACATGGAAACTACTATTTTATAATAGGGTATAGATTCAGGGATTATATCGGGATACTATTGGGAAAATGGAAAAGCCAATGGAACGTGACATGGAAACTGGGGTTATATAGACCCTAAACCCTAAATCCTAAACCCTAAATCCTATAACCGCTAAACAGCCATAGGGTTGCTGATTGAATTACAGGTTAACAGGCGACTTGGTATTTGGTGTCAAAGACATGTTCAGTGGCAATGAACTTGCCACAGGCAGGCTTCAGTTCCCAGAATAAGGGAACCCCCATAAAGACCCCCAAATACTATAGCCCTTACTGTAGGGGCCCCCAAAAAGGTACCCCTAATTTTGGGAAAAGCCCAAATCGCATGTGAGGGAGAAGGCGGAAGCATCTCAATTCTTTGCATTCGAGTAGCATGCAGCTCTGAGATCGTAGTGAGGTATGATGAATGCCTTTTCACGTTGCTGGCTGCAACCGTCAACTATGACGATGCAATACCCACATGTGAGGCAGAGATTGTGAACTTTCTTGTTGCTTTGTCAAGCTCAACCAGACCTTTGCGTTGCCCATGTTTGCTGCAGCTGATGTTGCGGTCAGGGCCTCGCCGAGGATTTCAATAGGCTTCGATGTCCAACTGCATTGATCGAAATCACCTCAACCTGCTATGGTGCTGATAACGATGCCTCTTGGTCTTGCAGAAGCATGGATTACAGTGATCTGGTATCTCTGGCGCGGTAGCAGGCTTTGTCAGCTGCGAGCTACGTTAGCTCCTCACCAGATCTCACAGGTGGATTGCGTACTCTCGCAAGCAAAGCGCAGTTCGGCTGTTGCACGCCTCAGCTCAGCTCAGGCTTGCCAGGCTGAGTGTGGCAACTGGCACAAGTGCGACTGCTGGAAGCTGAGGCCCCGCTCCAAGAGAGCTGTTCGGGATGAACTGACAGCGGCCAATGTTTGCATGCTTCGTTGAAACCAGCATTTGAGATTTTTTTCATCACGCAGCCTTGCTCGCGGCGCTGTTCTTCTCACGACCCTCCAGATAATGACCTCGAGCTTCTGCCATCGGATTGTGGTTTCTGTTCGAATTCTTGACAGCCCCGTCTGTGAGGGGACTTCCTGGCGAGCCGGACCGCTGTGAGGGTGAGACAGAGCTTTTGCGCTGGGATGGCATTCCGGACAACTGTGCCTGGGCTGCTGTGGTCAGGTAGACTCCACAATGTCACAACACTTGATGTAGTAGAGGTTGCTTCAGCTGTCCATCCATCCACGTCTGTAGGTGACCAGATGCCACGGTCAGGTCCCCGGCTGTCACTCGGGTTTGGGGGTTTGGGGGTCATAACAGTGGAAAAGAGAACGGAGACTACTATGTCACAATATGCAGGTTAGCCATCTTTGGCCTGGCAGACTGCCAACCTGCTCTGAGGAGTTGCTTCAACCACAGACCGGGCACATACTGTTCGACCTACAGACACTGCCCAGCCAACCTGTGTATCATCCAGGCAAGAACCGAATCTGTGAAATTGGAGTGAGACATAGTGAGACTGCTTTTTGATGCTGCTTGGCAAAGTTTAGTGTTGACCTGATCCCGAACCTGTCAGGACAAGCAGTGCCCATTGACGGACAGCTGTCAGGCCGTGGGAGTGTGCGCGCCGAGTACCCTGATTTGTTTCAGGGGTTAAGAGAACATGGAAACTACTGTATTATAATAGGGTAAATATTGGGGCTATAGTCCCCTTAAGTAGATAGAATATGGCTTGCTGCATGCTCCGCTCTGATCAGCTCTGGGCCAACCAACCAGAAGGTGGTTTCCCTGAAAAGGGGCCCCCAATATAGACCCCCAAATACTATACTCGTTATTGTTGGGACCCCCAAAAGTTACCCCTAATTCTGGGCAAGCCCCCAGAAGGTTCGCTTAAAACCCTAAACCCAGGTAGTTTCCATTTTCCAGTCTCCCTATAATAGCGCTATACAGTCCCTATCATAACCCCATAATAACCAAGATGCGCCGTTGGACCAAGGCGACGGCCAATGCTACTACTCCACGCTTCCGGATGGCACTCCGTGTGATGATGGCTTGTTCTATACGCACACCGATGTCTGTGTCTTGTCGCCCAAGTGAGGGACTTCGATGCAGGAACAGCCTGTCAGAGAAGAATGGTTACACGCCTCCTTCTAGCCAAGGCATTGGGGCTGTGTGCCAGGGCATTGAGGACAAGTGCATCCGCCACGGAGTGACGTTACGTGGCGTAAAGGTTTCGGTCCACCTGCAGCTGGTGGCTCTGTGCAAGCAGGTGTCAAAGTGAGACAGCTTCACACAACAGTAGTAGATGATCTTGCCATCTTCTGAGTTCCTTGTGATTCAGATGCAGTCAACATAGCAAGTCCAACAATGAGTTGCTTGGGCATACAGTGCTTTTCCAAAGAGTCTGCTGCATAACCAATTTGTCTATCGACACGAATCCATCATTGGCGCAGCAGAGGTGTCAGACCTTGAACAACTGCCTCTTCCCAACAGACAAAGTCAGGGTGCGCCGTGCGGGGTATTTCATGTGAGCTGCCATCTGTCGGACCTGTGATCCGCGCTGCGTTCTGTTCTCAGTGAAAGAGGGCATAGTAGCTTCCATTTTCTTTTCCATTATCCCTACGTAGCCCCAAAATGTACCCTCATAAGATAGTAGTTTCCATTTTCTTTGACATTATCCTTATATAACCCCAATATGTACCTTGTAATATAGTAGTTTCCATTTTCTTTTTCATCATCCCCTATATAATCCCTGTATATCACCTGAATCATGGCTGCCTGCAGAACTCCTGCGATCCATCGACCGGGAGCTGCGTCTTCGAAGCGAAGCCGGACGGTACTGCTTGCAGCAGCCAGTGGTCTCCTCAGGATTATAGTCCCCCTTAAGTAGATAGAATATGGCTTTGGGTACACTATGATAAGATCCCCATATACCGAAAATATTCTATCTACTAAGGGGGGACTATAAGCTTGGGCAAATGGGATGCTAATGTTTTCAAGGAACTTAAGTTTTGGTACCACAATGGGTATGTATAGTGAATAGTATCATCATGGGTATATTTAGTAATTAAGTTGCCATAATTGGTATACATATAGACAGCTCCCAAGAGTACGTGAGATGAAGTGCGTTACCAAATGACTTCTCGAGGCCAGGCGGCCTCATAGATGGTACCTGCGACGCTGGGCTGTGCCGGCGGACCGTGCAACACTCAGACATGTGGCAGAGAGTCATGCAGGTCAAAGCGATTTTAATTGGGTCGTGTTGAGCAATCAGGTGCTGAACAGATGTGTCGGCAAAATCTGTGCCAGCAAGGACTTGCAAATTCAAACCAGACGTGATTCCTCTTTAAATTGCAATGTTGCCACATTGCCAGGACTTCTGCTCAGGCGAAGCAGCAGCTTGCTTGCAGCAGCGTGTGCGTGTACATGCCCACACAGTGAGAACCCTAAATAGTAGTTCCATTTTCACTATGATCCCTATATAACCTATTATAGTATATATATATAACCCATTATAGTATATGTATATATAGAGTAAGGCTTGCGACCCATGGACCGGCGACTGCATCTTCACTCCGAAGCCAGAGGGCGAGGAGTGAAAGTGGGGCTTCGATATCTGAAGACTTTAAGTTTGTACCCTTAACGTTTGTACCCCTAAGTTTTGGGTCCCAAATACCCTTATTGAGGGTCATATTCTATGGTTTAGGGACCCAAAACCCAAGGGTACAAACCCTAAGGGTACAAAGGAAAACTCCCTGATGCGATATTTGAAGACAGCTTTGGGATTTGTGGGTATCTGCAGGAGTGCGATGATGGCAATCCCAATACCTATCGTGATCGTTGTGTCGAGGGCCAGCTCTTGAGCTAAAAGAAGACATGTCACCGTTTCATTGTCTTGCAACAACCTATGCGGCCTTTACAAGTGCACTTTCTTCTCTTGCATCAGATTTCACAGCAAGGTGCATTGGAGACGTTGTTGCTGAGCCGCTGTATGCCTGGGTTGGCTGGGAGCGCTGTGACGGTACGCTGGTCTGGGAGTGTTGACATTGTGACATTGTGTGCTCGCAATTGCACGTTTGGCCTTTTGTTGTCTGCCTTGTGGCATGTGGGTCTACATGCCAACAGCTCAGCTTCAGCCTTTCAGCCCTACCCTGTCACAGGCGAGTCTGGCATTGATCCGAATGTCGGACGATATTTTGGCAACACCCTTTCGGAGGACGAGTGCAAGGACCAAAGTTAAACTTCAGACCAAGCTGCTCAAGTCAAAGATGGGTAAGGGAAAGACCTTTCAGTCTGGTTAACTCCTCAAAGGGGGGGGGTTTATGGGCATGTAGGGACTTATAGCCCATATCATGCCAGGTTCGGTAGCCACATTTTCCCACTCTGGACAGCCGGTGCAGCGTCGTTTCATGCTGAGGGGTTGGGCCATCAATTCCTGATAAAGCGTAACGTATCTATCCGCAACGTGCGACATGGAGCCACAGCAGGCTGATGCAGGCATAGTAGTTTCCATTTTCTTTTCCAATATCCCAATATCCCCAATATGTCCCCAATATAACCTCAATATATCCCCAATATACCCAAACCCTAAACCCTATTACCCTAAACCCTATTACCCTTAACCCTAAACCCTAAACCCTAAACCCTATTACCCTAAACCCTATTACCCTTAACCCTAAACCCTAAACCGTAAACCCTAAACAAGGGCGGACATGCAAGAAAACGACGGGGTCGACAAATGATGGGCGGTGAGAAGTGAGAGGCATAGAGAAACTGATGCCTAAGACGCATCCCCTGGCCAGTGGCTAGCACAGAAAAGGTGCGAAGGGGTTACAAAAAAAAAACCTAAACCCTATTACCCTAAACCCTATTACCCTTAACCCTAAACCGTAAACCCTAAACCCTAAACCGTAAACCCTAAACCCTATTACCCTAAACCCTTAACCCTAAACCCTAAATCCTAAACCCTAAATCCCTAAAAACCCTATTCATCCTTGCCTCGGCAGGAACAATGCTCTCAGGATGCTTTGTGCCAGGCATATGCGCTCCTTGACGAGGAAATGCACAGACGGCATGACTATTATATAGGGCTTTTAGGGTTTAGGGTTTAGGGTTAAGGGTTTAGGTTGTAGGGCTTGTAGGGTATATATGGGTGGATGTCAAAATTATGGTCCCCTTTTTGGGTACCCTAGATATTGGGCGCCGTATTATAAGAGGGATCCAAAAAGAAGACCATAATTTTGACAACCACCCATATGGGGATTATATAGGGATAATGGACAGGAAAATGGAAACTACACTTTAGGGTTTAGGGTTTGCGGTGTAGGGGTTATATAGAAGAGAAAATGGAAACTACAGGGGTTATACGGGTTATATAGGGGTCATATAGGGATTATAGGGGATATATGTCGGTTATATAGGGATGGTGGAAAAGAACATGGAAACTGCTATAGGGTTTAGGGTTTAGGTTTTCTGGCGCGACTGCATTTCTTTCGCCAACAAACCAGTCCTATACTAGAGCTGAACAGAAGGCCCTGCGGGAAGTGATAGGGCGCGAGCACATCCACTCAAGGTGGCATGCCTTGCTTGAACCTTGCTAGCAACTAGGTATGGCTACTATGTCTGCCGCTTGGCTGCACTGGTGACGACTCGCAAGAAGCCGGATGAAGTTTGCTTGCTAGAGTCCAGGGCAGACTCGAACAAGAGCTCGTGCTCCGGATATCCACTATTCGCAAAATTCCTCACCTGGCAGCTGAGGCTACATCTATGGAGGCTGGGCTTGCTACTAGCAGCAAGAATCCGTTCAAACTGCTGTACCATTGGAATGATTGGATGCTGGTTTCGAACTCTTCTTCATGGGAGGCCAGCGAACAATGGATCCCAGCGAAGACTACTGGGGCAAGCCCCTCTTCCCAAGTCACTGTAACCGTACCACTAGCATTGATAGTTCAGGAACTCTTGGCATGCTGAACGGGGCTAGGGAGGCTTGTTGTGCTCACATCAGCCGCAGGCAATCCTGGAGCTCATGTCCGGCGAAGCAGGTTTCTTTAGATCATGTGTCATATGCTGGCTGAGGAAGTGGATGCGCCTGGAACCGGCTGCCATGCCCGTGATCAATCACGGCATTTCCTGTCACCGCAAACAGGACTTGGGAGAGGTCATCATCATCCTTGTACCTTGTATCTGCGCAATAGAGTGCTGGTGCAGGACAGCCAAGAAGATCGGCCATTCTTTGACGAGAAGGCTGCGTGGTTCTTCATCACAGTGCTGATTGTGGCCCAGACCTTAGAATTCTCTGTATCGATGGTGGAGATGGGAAAGGTGAAAGCGGTAGAGATACCGTCATGCGAGGTCGTCTTGCCAGCGATGTGGGGCTTGGTGATGGTGTGGCGGCCACTTTCGCGATCCTTCAGGCTGGGTTAGGGATATAGTCCCCCTTAAGATGGGGATCTTGTTTAATATACCCAAAGCCATGTTCTATCTACTTAGGGGGGACTATAGGACTTGATTGAAGGAGGTCAAGGCTGTTTCAGTTTCGACAGGCCGCGAGGTAGGGAAGGTTCAAAGCTCATAAGTTAGGGTGGTTGTCAAAGTTATGGTCCCTTTTTTGGGTACCCTAAATATTCAGTGCCGTATTATAGTAGGGATCCAAAAGGGACCATAATTTCGACAACCACCCACAAAGATCGAACAAAGAGCCAGCCACGAGATGACCGTGACTTGCGTCTTGGGGGAGGGTTGTGGTTGTATATGAGGGTTTCCCAAAATTAGGGGTACCTACTATAATGGAGAATCAAATGGAAAAGAAAATGGAAAATGAAATGGAAGCTGTGGTTATATAGGGGATTATAGGGAT